GGCGCCAACCCAAATGCAAAATTTAGTCGCCACGGGGGATCGAACCATTAACAGTACCTTATGCTTCTTTTTTGGTACTGCTAAAACCGTTCAGCGAAAATGAAACATGGTTTTGTGTTCCCTACATGCATTCCAGCCATGCAATAGAACCGTTTTGAAAAAGCGCGGCTTGCCCTGGAAGATCGCCCTTGTAAGTGCTCTGGGATCTGATATCAAGGCTGCATGTAAAGCTAATGAAAGATAAAAATCTTCCCTTGATTTTCTATACTTCGAGCATTTCTCTCCATTGAGTTTGATATTTGCTTCAGGTGAGGTTTTTCATGGATCGATTTCTTGCGTGGCTATGATTATTTGTGCATTTATTCGAATATTTGTTTCTAGTCTAACCACCCAAATTGGAGGCAGAAGCATGAATGGTCAACTCTGGTGTCCGTATTCAAGCGGTGAAAGGTGATTCCGCGTGATACTGCAATTGGAACCGCTATTTCAAGTGTAGCGGTCGACCATCGGATGATGATGACAAGTGTATTGAGTGTCTTATTTGGATAAAGTTAGCATAGAACTGTCAAGCTTATCTCTTCTGCTCCTAACCAGCTGGATCGCAATTAAACTTTGTAATAATTTCCAGGGTATAGCTGCAAACTGAAAAGGACTTCCGTTACCTGGGAGCGATCTAGGCGCCGACGGCAGTGTGGATCAGGCAGGCATGGATCAACGCGGCATGGATGAAATGGAGGGAGTCCACTGGAATCCTCTGCGATCGAAGGTGCTCCAGAACGCTCAAAGGGAAGGTGTACCGGACAGTGGTAAGGCCTGCGATGCTATACGGCAGCGAGTGCTGGCCCCTGAACAAGAATCACGAAAGGCAGCTTCACTCCGCTGAGATGAGGATGCTGAGATGGGCCTGCGGCTGGACGCGACTGGACAGGGTCAGAAACGAGGATGTCAGAGCGGTCATGCAGACTGCCCCTGTCCAGCTGAAGGTACGGGAACAGCGTCTGCGATGGTATGGGCATGTGCTAAGGAGGCCACAGGAATCATTCCGATAAGAAAGCAATGAACTGAAGCCAAGGCAAGCGAGCCAAAGAAGAGGTGGAGAGACGTCATCAAGAAGGACCTCAATGAAGTCAGGGTCACAGCAGAAGATGCCCTGGATAGAACAAGTGGCGACGGCTGACAAAGACAGCGGACCCTGCGACTGCGCGGGACTAACGCTAGGGAGAAGAAGAAGAAGAACTGCATGAAAATGATACATATGATATATCCGATCATTCTTAAGCTTTCGCAGTCGGATCTTTGAAACTCATTCGAAACTATTAGTGGCTGGGAAGCGAGACGCTCAGGTGATCCTGAAAGGTCGCACAAACAATCTAGGGTAAACTGAAGAAGCGGCGTACTAGACGTCAGAAACGTTCACCTGATCCACTCAACAATCACAAGTTTCCTATCCTACCTATCCATGTGCCTTGACTGATGGCGCTTGTTGGTTCGTGTGCGCAGCGGTGATTATTTTGCGCACATTGAAATATTCCTTTTCAGTTTAAATGCTCGAGTGCCCAATAATGCCCTTCATAATGGGACTTCCATTTACAGGTTGCACCAAGTTGGAACATGATATCGTTGCATTCGGAAGAAATGTTTGAAGCAAAGCACACAAACTCCAAAACGTAGATCAGAGAAGTTCTCTCTGTCATTATTTACGACTTAGTTTCACACCGGATGTGGGAGCAGGAAGAATTTATCAATCTTCGTTTCCGAAGTGCTGGCACGCAAGTGCAAAGTAGCGCCACCTTTCTACATCGAAACGCGTCACTAGGACCCTAGGCGCCATGGACTTCTAACAGACTCCACCAAACTTAACATGGTCCGCCCACCGTTCGATATCTTGTCTGCGTCGCTGCGTTGATCTGCTATGCTCTCTCTTCTCGGACTTCTCTACCACTCTCCGCGCTCACATTATCTCTCATCTCCCTGCCTGTCTTTTGAACTTCTCCACAGCATGAGCAAAATGCTCGTATTTCCTGTGTATTTCAGGATTTTCTTTCCTTTTTCTCCATTGGCGGTCCACCTCTCATCCCTACTTTCACATTTGAGTGGAAACCCATCAATGAATTTCTGATTATTGCGTTTAATGAATCTCGATTCACGCAAAGTAAATATGGTTCGAAATTGGCTGGCAAAGGCAAGGAGATGTATCGCAATGCAGATGTCGCTTCCGGCTTCAATCGGTTTGTGGCTCAGTAGAGCTGCTTAGTCAGAGCGCGAAAAACATAGCTCTTTTCTCTTTTCACTTTGAACTCGAAGAAGGCGGCTGTAAAGGGCAAGATTCGGTCACAAGTTTGCTGAAGCAGCTTGTGGCATGGCATCCAAAAAATTGCGCGTTTCTGAGACTAATCGTTGAGCATCAACTATGTCCAGATCCGTGCTACAATAGCCCTGGTAGTAGTGCTGGCCGTGCTTTCAAATCGTGGCGCAGGGAATCCCCATAAAAAGTGACTGGGAACTTAGTATGATGTTTACCTTCACAGCTCATATCGACTTACCAACGCGAGAGAACCACTACCTCAGTGTGCAATAAGTAGCTCAGACGAGGTCAAATACAGCGCTACTAGTTTCGACTGTACTCCTTGCAATACTTACTTATATCCGTTGAAGGATCGACAGGAATACTTATTCGAAACTGCGTTGATTTCTGAATTCTTATAACTAGCTACTAATTAACCCGTTGCGATCTTGCTTCTTCAAAAGCATCTTGTTAATTCTCTTGAAGCATACTTCAACAGATTCACGTATGCCGGAGTGAAAGGACTTCGGAAGAGAGTACTGAGGGGACGACGTATCCATCCTGTTGCAGTTGATAAGTGGGCAGATGGACATGGCTATCGAAGAGATCGAGTAGAAGTCGTGGATGACTTTCTCCATTGCCCTTCGGGATGCAGTAACTGTTCCATCTGGACGTCGGAGGCAGGTCATCTTGGTCTTGTAGCTGGCATAGCTTCGGCGGGCATTGCGGATGCTCCTCCCAGCCTCTGCTGCTTCAGCTAATACTGCTGCTCTTCGCTCCTTGAGATCTTCCTTTATCGCCTCTCTGCATAGCTTCGCAAGCTCGGACGTGAGTCGGTGATTGCCTGCAGCTCGTGCGGCTCCACGCTGGCGTATCAGTTCGAGAGTTTCCGGAGATGAAGACGTCTTCGCTAGACTGTCAAAACTCTCTGCTTCGAGCCGACTAAATCTTGAAATGGCCAACGACCCCGGATAGTACTCCTTACCTCTTCGTCGATGTTTCGATGATCCTCCGGTAAGCCTCCAAGTAAAAATCCTGCACCGAGGCGAAGCGAAGTTATCCCAGTTGATGACTGTCCTGGGGCTTCGCTTCCTGAACTTTGCTGCTCTCTCAACACGCATCGAGAAGTGGAATCTTGCGCGGAGGAGACGATGGTCCGATCCCGTGTAGAACTTTGGAACAACAGCGACGTCGGTCAGGCAAAACCTTCGATTGAAGATGATGTGGTCTATCTCGTTATGGAACTGTCCATCAGGTGACTCCCAAGTCCAGCGAAGGTGAGAGGGCTTCTGGAACTGCGAGTTACCATGGATGGTATTGGTCGACATGATAAACTCAGACAGTCTTTCGCCCTGCTCATTCCAATCCATTCCGTGAGTACCGATGTGAAGTTCTTCAGCCGTTCTTCTCGGGCCAATCTTGGCGTTGAAGTCGCCGACGATGACCTTGAAGAAGGTATGGTCTTCCTTGTAGAACTTCTCCAATTCCATATAAAATGCTTCGTGTTCCTCCTCGTCGTAGCTCGATGTTGGTGCGTAGGCGACGAAGATTGTCAAAGCAGGAGTTGAACCACATCTTCTCAATCTCAAACGTCCGATTCGGGTCGTAAGGCTTTCGTACGAATCGATGTTTATGGCCAAGTGCGTGTTGACGAGGACACCCACACCACCAACGCCTCTGCTGTCGCATGTTCCAAGGAAACAGTTCTTTCTCCAGTATCGAAAACGGCGTGTAGCGGGCGGTGCCTTCTCGTCTCGGTCAGTCCGATGACGTCGTACTTGATCTTCCTGGCCTGCATCATCAGATCTTCGATGTGAGCTTCGGATGCAAGCGTTCGTGCGTTGAAAGTACAGATCGCCATCTTAGTCCTTCTTCGTTTAGGCAGCCTATCCGGGCCCTGAGATTCTAGCAGCCTCTCCCGAGCGGTCCTACCCAACGCTGCCGTATTGGGGGCTCCCTCAGGTTCAGGGGAATGAGGCCCATCCATATTGCTGTTTTCGGCATATTGAAGGCACACGAGTAGCTTGCCAGGCTCTGTCGTGCGGGCTAGGATAGACCTCCAGGTAGTTAGCCACGCTATCCTGGAGCGGAACAAGGGGCTTATTTTTGGAGGCGGCCCCGAATCGCCTCCCATGTACTTCCCAGTCACTTGAATGCAAGCTTTTGGCTGTGCCGACATGCAGGATACCAACCGCACACACACAGAGCGCACCACACACGCAAGCATGCATGGATGCGCCTGAGTGGAGACAGCTGGTATGAATCAACACAGCACTACAGAAACAGGGAGTCCATCCCCTGAATCCACCTGCGTCTCAGGGCAAGTACATGGTGGCTTTTGGTCCGCGATTTACCCCCTATCCGCCACCTGGGGTCGCGCCACGTAGCCTCGCCACCAACCGGCTCGAGATCTTTCAGTGAGAGAGGACCCTCAGTGAAAGAGATCCGTGGACCCCAATGCATAAATACTGAAACTCTACCCACCTCTACATCCCTTCGTTTTCCGGTGATGTTAACCTTCTCAAGATTCAGATAGTGTCACCCACACATTTCGTTAACTCTTTTTTTTGGTGTCATCTACTTCAAAGGAGAAGTTCATGATGTTCAAATTTGTCTAGCACTGCCTCATCATTTTAGATGGTCATGTCCAATAATGGAGACTGCTTGTGAAGAACATGCCTTCATCACTGAGCTGGCCAATAAACCACAGCCGAACCTGGACAACTTTTTCGAAATGGCTGATCCGTTCGCCAACGAGAACGATATGCTCGATGTAGGTCATTGACGATATGCGACTGGAGGCATGCATTACGGTGTTTCATAATTCCTGACCACTTCCGGTCTGATTCAAAACTTTTCTGACTATAAGTGTTTCACTCCGGCATACGTG